GGCCGGAGTCCTGGCACACAGCAGGGCTCACTCGGAACTTGGCGTTTCTGGAGCTCTTCCCTATTCTGGTAGTGTTGGAGGTATGGGGTTCCTTGCTGGGGGACAGACGGGTGGTTTTCCACTGCGATAACTTGGGGGTGGTTCAGGCCATTAACCAACTGTCGGCTTCCTCCCCCCCTGTGGTTCGCTTGCTGCGGCGCCTTGTTTTGCGCTGTCTGGAGCTGAATGTGTATTGTAGGGCTTTACACATACCGGGTGTTCGTAATGTGATGGCCGATGCTCTCTCTCGTTCACAGTGGGGCTGTCTCCCTCGGCCATTTCGGCGCGCTTGGCAGGGCTTAGCTTCCTGTTTAAGCTGCAGGGTTGGGAGGACGCTAACAAAGCGTTTCTTATACACCAGGTGCTGAAGGGTTTGAGGTGAGGTAGGGTGTCTGCACGGGATTCGAGGCGTCCTGTCTCGGGCACGCTCTTAACCTCGTTGTGTGAGAGGCTGCACGGGATTTGCCATTCAGATTTCGAGGTTTGGCTTTTTCGCCTGGCCTTTTCCCTGGCATTCTTTGGTGCCATGCGGATTGGGGAGCTGGTGTGCCCCAATCGGCAACAGGTAGGGTGTGTGCTATTTGGGGACGTTACGTGCACCGCGGATAGGATCTCGTTCAGGATCCGCCGCTCTAAGACGGATGTCTTGGGGAGGGGTAAGTGGGTCCGGTTAGGGGCCGTGCCTGGTTCTGGCATTTGTCCTGTGTGGTCCTTTGGGGAATATTGTGCCTTGCGGCCTTCTACTGCGCTGCCCCTCCTGGTACATGGGGATGGGAATTTCCTGTCACATTTTCAGTTTATTAGAGTGTTTCGTTTGGGGCTGGAAGCCATGGGTTTGGTTAGCAAGGAGTTTGGGGGCCACTCGTTCCGTATTGGGGCGGCTACTGAGGCCTCTAGGCTTGGCATGCCTGCGCAGGTGGTTCAGAGGATTGGTAGGTGGTAATCAAGACGTTATGTTTTCTATGTTCGTCCGGATGGTTTACTGTCGTAATTTCTTTCCACAGTTTCGGTTCCCCCCAGGATTTGGATCATCGGGCACTCTTATGTTTACTGGGCTGGGCAGTGTACGGCGGTATGGCCTGGAGGCGAGTGGTTGGGTTTCACGCCTTCCGTAGCAGAGGTTCGATGGCTCGGTGCGAGGGGTATGAGGTGGGTTCGGCTCCTCCCTGAGTTGGTGCAGCTTTCTCACCTACTAGGGGTACCGAGTGTCCTAGTGATCCACTTAGGGGGGAATGATTTGGGTTCAGTGCCCATCTGGGATTTGATTTCGGTGGTGAAGCGGGACTTAGCCCGCATTTTAGTCCTATTCCCCAACGTGCGCTTGGTCTGGTCAGAAGTCATTGCCCGTAACTATTGACGTGGCGCTAGGAGCCAGAGTGCCGTGGAGCGGTGCAGGCGCAAGTTTAATAGGCGGGTTTCCCAGTTTGTTTTGGGGGTTCGGGG